ACTCTCTAAGACTCTAAGTCAAATAAAGGACATTGGGCTACCCCCCTGCCAAGCAACACTCCAACAGTTGCTGCACTGTATCATTATTTCAGTCAAGGTTCTTGATAGGCCTTGAGGAAGACCTAAAGGTACGCAAGAATCTTTGGGAGATTGGTCCTGAGTCGAACTAATTATATATCTAATTTGGGCAACGGCAAGTTTGTTGCACCAGACAGTGTACTGAAAAATGGTTTCTGGAAGACGATGTTCGTATTTAGAGTGGCACCAGTTGTGATGTGGGCTCATTCTGGTCGTCTCTATCGGGGGTTGCTGTCGAGTGCGTGAGGCTGTCGAACGCTACCCCGGCGACCTTCGACTCGCTGAAGAAAGCACCTCAGCCGCAAGAGTGAGCCTTCGCCAGCTTGGGCATGGAGCCCGGATCAAGTGATATCAAGTGCCTTGCTGCCAGATTGCCACTGCATTGTGCCGAGCTTGGCTATTGAAAGATATTGAAAGCATTTGACAGCCGAGCAGTCACTTGGTGTTCAACCTCAAGGCAGTCCTGTTGGTGCCCCCGATGCTGGAAGCCGGCCTTTTTGTCAGCTTGTTGGAATCCAAAAGACTCTCAACAACCCACAACAACCCTCAACTGTTTGGATGATCGCCGCGCCCTTGGTTTGCATGACTGGCGGCAAATGACCCGTAGAACCCCTAGTTAGAAGATGTTTCAAGCAATATGTATGTGGAATGCCGATGATAAAGACTGCCCAGAGTGGCCCTTATGACCAGTTGCCTTGTTCTTCAGGATCTTGCAAACCGAAATCACTCAGTTTTTCTCAAACAGAAACACACACACATATATATAATTATATATATACATATGCATATAGACTGCACAACACACTGAACACATCACCATCTCATACCATCCCTCTTGCTCACATCCCTCCCATGTTCTCAGCTAGACCCTTTCAGACGGGCCTTGGAAACCAATAATACCTCCAGATGGTGTTCCGTGAAACCCAACGAAGTGGCGGATCCGATCCGCACGACTCTCCATTCGGTGGGGCGACGCCCAGGAGCTGGAAGAGGCGGGCGGGAAGTGACGCATGGTGGACAGGGTGGGGGAACAGACGCACATGTGGTGTAGGGATTACAGGGATTGTGAAAGGGCGTGTGTGTGTGTGTGCATTTTGGTGGTGTAGGGATTTGTGTATGAAAATCTGGTGCAGCCTTATATAGGACTGTTCGGCTCGATGAGGGTTGATGATTTGTCATTCTTTTTGAGAAGGATTTGTCATTCAATTCCTTCAAAGCTGCAAGCTTGCAGGGTCCAGGGACTTTGCGACAGGTTGTGCTTTCCGACCGCCCCGTCTTTTTGAACAAAGAAGCCATTCCACGACGGCTGGAAGATTCCATTTCCCAACTCCTTTTCAGCTCTAAAAAGAGGGGATCCCAATTCTTAACGGTCTTAACGCAAAAGATGTACACATATCTACACTACATACAGCTTGAGGCCGAACCGGGGCAGTGTTTTTCGGAGGTCAAACCGGGGCGAAAGAATTACCTCCGGGCGCGCAGGTCTTAGAAGAAGATCTGCCACACACTGGGGACCAGCAGCCGGTGCTGAAGGCCTGGGCTTTGCTTGGTGGGTGGAGCCATAGGCCAGCAGAGGGCTGCAGTTTTGTGGAGGGACGCTGCAACCATTGAAAATAGCTCGTTCGATTGCCGGGAAGGATGGCAATGTCGGTAGCATTGGAAAACGCACTAAAAGAAGGTAAGCCATAGAAGTGCAAGACCATGAAAGACCACCAGCACAGTATATCAAGGAATTCATTTCGGGCCACCTTAAAATTCCTGAAGACTCAAACACTACCTTGAATACTCTTAGACTCCCAGGGTGCGGCTGAAATCCTTCATGCTCATTCGTTCAACAAGCGCACCCTCGTGCGCCAATTTGTTCACCCCATTATGCACTCTCTTGGCGTTTTGGGACATCCTTCCGGCCCTCCGGCCTTTCGTTTTTCTTGTTGTTTCGGTGCCACTCGGATACGGAAACATTTGGAAAGGTTTCTGAACAAAGCAAGCTTAGCTTGATGAAACCCCAGATTTTACACACTCTTTGAGCGCCTCGTGACCAGGGTGACCACCGAGTGGACCCACAGGGCGGCCGACGTTCATGTGGCCACCGTTACTACCGTTACTTGAGATGAACCCACAGGTCCTAAGAGGTTTTCAAGTGAGTTTAAACCGCCAACCAGAAGATGGAACGTGCAGAAACAAAACAGAACAATAGATGTGTGTTTTCTTGTGTCCAACTCTGAGGCCGAAGCAGATCGCGTCCTCGAGTATGCCAAGCTTTATGTGGCTGAGGCCAGACTTGGGATCTGTTCAAGAAGGTCGTAAGGGAAGGGGGAAATCATCAAGTGAGGATGGTGAAACTCTTTCAAACCATGAACTCTTCAGCCAAGAAGGATGATTTCAGCCCAATGCCGCCAAGTGCCAGCGGGACACCTTTGCAACATGTTACATCTCAGCTCAGCTGCGAACTTCATCCAAGTGGGGACGTGAGTGGAGATCAAGTCAGATCAAGGTAGCAGTATCAGGATCTGTCAGAGTATCATGATGATGCACTTTTGTTCACCAAGCGGTTCCCCACCCTCAATCCACCTTACCTTTGTCGGCAGCCTTGACCCATCCTGATCCGAAGCTTCAACCGATGTTGTACAAACCGGAGATGTGAAGGTAGCCAAACCACGGGGTGTAGCCGTTTTCAGACCACAAGGGAAAACCAGCGAAGTTTGTCAAGCCTCACGCCTTCACACCTTCACCGCTCCTGAGGTCACCGGCAAGAAACCCGTTTCCTGATGCCCCGTTCTCCGCAGAGACGAGTGTTGCGGCCATCGACCCTGACCAGGGCCAAAATATCTAAAGTGACGGGGTCATTGGAGATCAGTTTACAATTGTTTGCAGCTTAGGTGTTTAGGCATCGATGTAGACCACAAGCGTGATACTGCAACTGGCTTGAAGAACAAAACAGTATATATCTATTATATGTATGAGTTAGAGATAGTTGGAGAGACCTTGCCTAGCCCAACTACCATTTCTGGTTTCGATCCACATTATTGCGCAAGATCACACAACGTCAACCAATGTGCAGTGAATGTACCGCAAGGCCTAGACAAAGTGCCACAAAAGTATAGTATAGTTTTCATTCATGTGTTCAAGGGTTAAGTGATGTTAAGTGCCTTTCGGCATTCGTGAAAAAGGCCAAGAACTTGGCGCAAGCAACGAAGAAGCGGTTCTTCCAAACACCCAAACGCACGGATTCCAATCCTTTGAACAGGCGCCGGGCCTCCCCACGCCCACACGGCCTTCGTGTTTGGTCGGCGACCCGGACCCTCGGGCGACCCTCGGGACTTCGGCCACTCGTGGAATGAACCGCAGGAACCTCCTTCCAGGTTTTCCTGCTTTCTCAGCCAGCATGGCATCACCAGATTGGGATCTTTGGTGCATCTTCCGAGACGGTGAGAAAAGAACACAGCCACAAAAATAAACAAAGCTGCAGCCTTCCTGGAGGCTGGCAGTTCCAGATTCAATCCACGCAAACGGCCTGGCAGTTTGACGTAGTGATATGAGGAGCTACAAACGCTGCTGAGCGCGGCAAGGAATTGTGCGGGGAGGCAATTGGAAGAACATGCATGCCAAGAAATTGCAGCTAATGACAAAGCAATATATATCCGAATGTTGCAATGTCAGCGGCTCGCTATGCTGCTTGGGAAGGATTACAAGGTATGTGAGTGTTACTATACAGTCAGTTCGTGTGTAGAACCATTTGCAATATCGGGTTGGTAGTCATGTTCAAACAATCCATGCACACACTTTATATATATATATAATATTATATAATTACACTTAAAGTGAGACTGAGCAAGCATCAGCGATACCATCCTTGTTGCTTAGACTACTCGTTTACCAACGCAATACCAGAAAACATACTATTAATTAGTTGTTAATTGAACATACAACTTGCAGAAGGAGTAGAAGAGGTACTGGGGGATCCTTCTATGCCAATACCTGAACGAATTACTTTGCATGTCTTAGAAGGGCCCAACCTTGTAGGTTGGCTGTATGCTGACCCAAAACGCATGTTCGGCAAAATCGGGTCTTGTTTCTTCGGCAAAGAATTGCATATGCATGTATAAACACATATCAATGTATAACAGCCCTTTGTCATGCATACCCAAGAAGTGCTCACGCGCAAAAAAAAGCGGCCGCAACTGGTCACATGGTCGCCTCCAAGATCTACGCCGCGCATCGAGTTTTGTGGCAGTTGGATCTGCTGGAAGGGGCAGGGTCCGAGAAAGACGACGGGGCGCGTGGATCGTGGATAGGAAAAACAACCGACCGAGGGAGGAGAACGACCTGCGCGCGCGTCCGCGCACGGAGCTCGTGGCATGTTTGGGACCATGGTTTGTTTGGGAAGGTGTAGAGCTGAACACATACAGAGTGTTTGTTACAACATATTGCAACTGCTAAGAGTAGGACATTGCCTTGTGGCAGTTGGTTGAGGCCCCTCCTTCAAGCTTTCGGCCTTTTAGGGCCCCCTGCATGAAGTCCTTGGGCCAAACCGAGCTCCCTGGGCTATGTGACTTAAATGACCTGACCTACGTTTGGGTGGGATTGTTTGTTCTTCATGAGTCTGGACCATTGGTGAACCATGAGTCGCTGGCTCGGCGGGCGAAACTTTCAGGCGCACGAATGACCACAACTTGGGAGCTTTGACGGGACACCAAGGGAGTACCAAGCCCCAAAGCCCCACACGACAAAGCGGCATCCAGCGACAGACTTCCTCACCTTTTGACGAGCACCTGAACTAAAGAATGCCACAGAGAAACAACCTATAAAATAAGTTCATGCAAGGGTGCGGTGCGGTGTATGCGCTTCAATCAAGGACGTTGGGTCACCCAAATGACTAGATCCCAGTACCAAGTCAGCAAGCAGGCTCTTAAACTGTTGATCGCCCAGTTGGTCACTGGCCCATTTCTTGCCGGGCGAAGAGACCACGGCCAGCCACCCGCTATGTTGGAGCGGCACTTGCCGCCGCCGCCCAGCTGCCCCTTGCTACACAGCAAGTTTGGAGCGTTGAAGATGCTTGGCAGCGAGAACTGCGGGGGGCGGGGTGACCCCATCGTGCTTCGGGCGGGGTGACGTTGAAGCTTCCGGACTCCTGCAGTGACTGGAGAGAATGTGAGCCTGTTCAGGTTGGCCATGTGAATCTTCGGAGGTTCGCGGCGGTTTTTAAAGTTCAATTGGATGTTTTGCCCTGGCGATGCGGGAAGATACTTCTTGCAGACTGGTGGGCTTGCTGGTTTACACCATCCCCCATGCGACACAAAATATATGTAGCAATCCAGCTGAAGCACAGTTGAATAATCTTTGCATGGACATTTGGTCCAGAGAAGGCTCGAAGATGATCCCAAGCAAAATGCTTTGTTCTGGTGATGCATTTGCATGTCAACTCACTTTTGTTTCGCTTCGTCGCGTTCGCGGTGTGTTTCAAGGAATGGAGTACCAAAGTATGTACCTCAAGACGCTCTCATCGAGGCCTGCAGGGCCAAAGAATCGGTGACACAACATGACACAACTATATATATATATATTTATATATCCATTTCACCATGAAACAGCAAATTTGGGAACCATATCCCAGACACGACCTGTCTGGGACTGCCAGGACGGACCGGCCGACCCCTGGTCGGCCGGTCAACCATCCCCTCTCCTCGACCGCCGCCTGCGGCAGGCGTTCGAGACGGCGCAGGCGGAGACCACCGCACGGATCCGCGCTGGGCTGAGCCTACCAGCGTCTCCGGAGGGGAAGTCGACCACCTCCAGGCGATGGGCTTTTGGGGATTTCTGAGTTGGGATGGTACACGGACGCGTGAGCTGATGCAGCTTGATAGATACAGATGGATGAGACACATACCCATGAGCTGTGGGCCAGTGGGGTTCACTGATTTCAAGCCCTCGCCGTGCCAGCTGCGGCTGCCGCCAGGTCCTGGCCTCACCGGCGCCATGGCAGCGAGCCACCGCCCTCGCCGTCCAGACGACAGCGGCTGCTGGGGCTGGAGCTCCCACAGCCGCCCCTCCCACCCGTGGCTGGCGAGCTAAAGGTACCGAGCACGGTCGGCGCATTTCGTGCCATGGCCCGTGCGTGGCGAGGGCAAGCGAAGACACGTTGCCAGGTGACCCTGAGATAAGGTTATTTAATGTCAATCTGTTAAATGTAAATGTGAACATTCCCATGCCGCAGGGTGAAATCACTCCTGCTATGGATTGAAATGGGGAGTTTGAACAGAAACAACGTAGATATGCCGTACTCTACTCGGCTACACAGTTGTTGAAGAGGGGTTCAATTGGAGTTATTCTTCCACCTAGCATCACCTAGCAACAGTCACTTGTGAAGGGTTAAGTTAAGTGCAGTGCAGGAGCCTTTTCTATATAATGTTGAGCTGTCACTGGGTGGCTTTAATACAGCGCCGTGTCATAATATATATATATTTATTAAATATATTTATCCGGTACCTGGGATTTAGGCACAAAGCGATAGTGGATGTGTCGGGAATATGAGCCTATGCAACATAAGTATGTACAGTAGATCACACGATCTAAGTAACCTTGAACAGGGCTGTATCTTGCAGCCCCTTCTGACCAAGTAAAAGGTGCGAGTCCGGGCGCTGAGTTGCGCCGTTTCATGGTAGCGCAGCCTGGTTTCCAAGGGGAAGCGGTTAGCCCCGCTACCCTGCTGGCGCGGGTAGCCCCGCCCAGCAAAACGGCTCCCAAGCCGAAGAAGGGAGCCAAGAAGAAGGACAAAGGGGGGCAGGAGATCTGCCTACAGAACCCTAGCTCGAGAAGCTAGGGGCCAAGCCCGGCGAGAAGCCGGCACAACAGAAGAAAGAAAGAAGCTATAGGAACCCAGGTTGTGGAGCCCCGGCCACTTCCGTCTGGACAGGGGGCACATCGAGCTTTCATAGTTCGAGACAAGACTCCGAGCCCAATTCGATTGGTTCCAGCTCGAAAGGAGCTAAGACATCCTCATCCAGGTTCTCGTGGAAGAGCCAAGGAGAAAAACAGAAAGAGAAGAGCGAAGAGAAGCGAGAGGGATCGTTCTCGCCGTCGAGCACCTGAACCTCGTGCACTTCGCCTTCGTTCCGCTTCACCCGTGCATCAGCGATTCACACTGCGATTCACTCAGCTGTATCATCAGAGAGCTGAAGCAAAGGCCATCCAAGACAAAGTTCACAAGAACTGGAAGAACCTGAGGTTTGCCGACAGAGTTGCTGTGAGACGGGTCTTGAGGAAGCATTTCCCTCACGGAAGTGTCAAGGACGCCTTTGACACCTTACTAGCTGACTGCTTCAGCTGTGAGGAGAGATCTCGACTGAATCGTCCAAGGGCCGCTCAGTTTGCAGCAGCTCGTTGCAGCTCGTTTGACTCGAAAGAACCGAGAAGAGGCGCAAAGAGCAAAGGCCTACGAAGCCGACGCGGAGGAGAAAGCCGAGTCAAAGGACAAACGGCCGCGCAAGAGGCCATTTCCAAACATAGATCTTGTTTCAGAAGTAGATTACGGTGGCGACGACGATGATGACAACGAATCCTCAGGAAACGACCCCAGACTTGGAGCAATCAAGGGACCCCATGGCCCAGATGATGGCGGCAGTGGAGCGGCTGTCACGGCAAGTTCAGCTGCAACAGATGCAGCTAGAACAGATGTGCGCGTTGAGCCTGAACGCAGGGTTTCAGACATATCAGGTATGGTTCCAACAGCTGCTTTGCACAGACCTTTTCAAGAATCTAGCAGTAGTAGTGGGGGGTTTGGTTTGGTTGACACGAGACAGTTGGGAAAACCGGAGACCTTAAGGGAGATGCGAGTGAGTATGCCGATTTTTCGTTTGTGTTCAAAGCGTATATGGCTTGTGTGGACTCCCGTTTCATTGAGATTGTTGAACGTATTGAATCAACTAGAGTTCCATGCCCGAATCGCCTTCTCAGCGGGCAAGAGAGGCAGCTTTCATCACAGTTGTATTACATGTTAGTGATGTTAGTCAAGGGCAGGGCACTCGATGTGGCACAAAACAGTGGAAAGGGAGAGGGCTTTGAGGCCTTCCGCAAACTCGAAGAGCTGTACCAACCCAAGTTGGCATCAAGGTTTGTTGGCAGTTTGAGTTTGATTCTCAACACACGTTTTTCATCCACGGATGTGGAGGCAGAACTAGAGTTGTTTGAAAAGACGATCAGGCGATATGAGAGCGAAACTGGCAAAGCCTTGGATGACCAGATTTTCCTCGGTGTGGTCATCAACGGTCTCCAACACAATTCAGTTTGAGACCACATCATTAGAAACACAAATCGCTTGACGAGCTTTCAGCCGGTAAGAGATGAGCTGTTGGAGATAGCTCGTACTAGCCGTGTGTTAAGCCAAATGCCTAGCCCCATGGACATTGGCGCATTGCCCCAAAGAGGCAAGGGGAAGACTGACAAAGGCAAGGAAAAGGAAGTAAGGGTCAAGATGACAAAGGCAAAGGCAAGACCAAAGGCACCTCCAGCAATACAGCTCTTAGCAAAGAGAAGACGTGTTTCTATTGCAGCAAGCCTGGCCACATCAAGGCCGAATGCCGCAAGAAACAAGCAGACGACAGAGCCAAAGGTAGCAAAGGCTCCAAAGGTGGAAAAGGTAAGAACGCAGCAACGCCAGAGCAAGAACCCCAGAGTGAACCACTGTCCTCTTGTTGCAGCTATTGCTAGCCCCTTGAAGCGCGTGCTGGTTGACACTGGAGCCGGTTCCCATTTGTTTCAAAGTGGGTTGGACCCCCAAGCTGTTGAGAGCGTAAATGATTCATCCAAGAGCTTAGTTACTGTCACGGGTGAACCGCTCACATCTGGAATCAGAAAGAAAAGCGTCATTGAATGTTGTGGTAAAACGTTCAATGTTGAATACGCTGAGTCAGATAAGCTTCAGTTTAGTGTCCTTTCATCCGGTAAAATGGCAGAAAAGGGGGGTGTGGACCATTGTTGGTCCCGGTATGCAGTGTGTTGCTCAGTCCAGGTTCACTCCCATTATTCAAGACTGTTTGAGCCACATTGAAACGATTCCCTTAACCAAGAGCAGGGGAGTGTTCTGGTTGCCACTGGAGACCAAGCAATCACCAGCGGGTAGCCCCGCGGACATCCTTGGCGGTGTCAAGGCAGTGGCAAAGAGCGTGCCTGCCAACATTTACGATGAGGTTGGGGAGCCTGGGCATCAGGAGGAGGGAGTTTCTGCAGCTTCTAGTCATCCTAGTGGTCCTAGTGCTTCAACAGATGCTCAACCCCAGACTGGTCACGTTGAACCCCCAAAGTTGCCGGAGTTGCAAGAGCCTCCAAGTGAAGCTTCAAGTGAAGGGAGAAAGCCGAAGGCCAAGAAGATTCCTGATACTGTTTCAAAGGAGGAATATGACGCACACATGCTCACACACATTCCTTTGAGAAACTGGTGCGAGCATTGCATGCGTGGCAAAGTCCGTGAGGACGACCACCGCGGGAGACAAGCAGAAAGCGACCCGAATGAAGTTCCGCGTGTAAGTTTGGATTACTGTTTCCTGGGTCGTGTTGTGATGAAAAACCAAAACACCGAGTTGAATGTTTCTGAACTCACGTCTAAATCACCAGATGATGAAAACTTGCTGCCTGTTCTTGTCATTGTTGACGAGAAAACTGGTTGTGTCTTTTCTGGTGTGGTTGCTAAAGGTGTGAATGCTTATGCAAACAATTTGGTGGTTGAAGGCTTAAAGTTTTGTGGTGGGCAAAGAGATGCTGAGCCCAGCATCAAGGCATTGGCAGAAGCTGCCAGCAAGGAATGGGGTGGAGAGTGCCAGTTGATGACAGCGCCTAGAGCTTCCAACGGTGCGTGTGAGCGAGCCATCCTTGAGCTGGCTCGTCAAGCTCGGACCTTGGTGAGCAGTTTGGAAGAGCGATTTCCTGGTTTTAAGTTGAACCCCAAAGACAAACACTACCCGTGGCTGATACGCCAAGCTTCATGGCTTCTGACCAGATACCTGGTGAAGGCCGACGGCAAACGCCGTATGAGCGATTGAGAGGGCGGACCTACAAAGGTTCAATCATTGAGCCCTTTGAGAGTTGTCACTACAAAGTCGCAGATGCGGAAAAGGGGAAACTTGATGCACAGACAAACACGGGCATCTGGTTGGGTAAGAGTTTGCAATCAGACGAACATTTGGTTGCAACTGAGCACGGCATCAGGCGATGCCGGACGATCTGGAGGAAGCCAGAGAGATTAAGATGGAACCTGAAAGGTTTCCAGAGTTGGGTTGGCCTTCCTTGGCAACCTCGTGGTCCACCCACACCAACTCCAGAAGCAATCCGCTCAGGAGTCACTAACCCTGGCACTCCAGTGCCAGGAACACCAGGTGTAAAGAAAGGCGTGTACATCACGGTAGGGCAACAGCTGAAGCATGGCATGACGCCAGGATGCCAGAGTTCAGATGAACATCCCAAGAGGCACCATGCTGAGTGCCGTGCGCGATTTGAGAAGTTGATCAGTGAGGAGCGCTTGAAGCTCGAGTCCGCGGAGGTCTTGGACGTAGAGATGGGTGCGGGTACCTCCGCTTCATCTCGGCCATCTGTGGGTAACACCGCGGTGGCAGAGCTGCCAGCGGGAAACACCGCGGCAGTTGGAGAGTTGCCAGCGGGAACCACCGCGGCAACGGGAAAGTTATCTGCGGGGCACACCGCGATGACAAGTCCGTCAGCGGGGAACACCGCGACGGCTGATGGATCGGTCGCGGGCCGCCCCGCACCGGTTGAAGGCCCACTAGAAGGTACATCCATGGGCAGTGAAGCAAAGAGACTGAAGAAAGATCAGTCGTCTGGAAGCAAGCGACCAGCTGAAACATCGCTGGATGATCTCCCTGCAGAGATCGAAAGGCGCTCAGTGGCAGCGCTACTTGCCATGAAGCTCCACAAGAAGAAGTGGATTACAACGATCGTCCAACACTTCATGAGGTCCCCTTGGCTGCTTATCCTGAATGGGCAGAAGTGGGACAGGTACTTGACGAAAGGAGCGGTGAAGTTCTTGAACCGGACAAGGTCAAGAAGGCTCGGGGAAGAGAATTGG